ATCTGTATGCATAGTCACAGACCTTTGTGATGTAGGATCATACAGTAGTAGCAATGTTAACGTTATATAGGCTATCTGAGACAGTGAGTATATTTGTGATAGCACAAATAAACAGCTTATTAGCTTATTGAGGCTATAAAGCCTTGAAGGCTATGGTTCCTTTTCCAGACATGGAATATTAATCATCACAATGTATTTTGGGACAGATGGCTTAACATGTAGATATGATGAAATACATAACAGCTATATGTTTAGTGAATCACAGCAGTCTGTTCATCCTAAATATAGGAAGCCATACAATTACTGCAAATGCCACAACCTGGTTTAATTCTGTAACCCATATAGTTTATTTATTGTTGGCCTGGTTCACAATATCTACCAACTATGCCTGCCTGTATCGTGACCACTAATTCATTGCTGTGGTATTTTTAAAACCATATTCATGTCCCCATAATAAAACCTTTAATCTATCATTAATGTCAGATTCTTTTTGAGCTTGTTACAACACTGTTTTAAATTACTCTGCCACTGTTTCCTTCTGATCATTTGGAAGATGATGATTTACATCAAATCAACTTGTTTGCTTTCTTCTCTTTACAACTCATTCAGCCACCTATTACCCCTGTCTTAATGCGTTACTTGGGCTTGCGAAGACGGGCAGCTGACAGTAGTCGAGTCTGATTTGGAGACAGCTTGAGTAGACGGGGCAGAGATACAAAGCAGGGCCGTGGCTGCCAGGCCAAGCCAGGCCATGCCAGCTCCACAGAGGGCTTCAGTGCAGCAGGGCACTGGGGAGAGGGCGCTTGGCACCTGATCAGTTACCACAGTGAATTCTGTTCCTGTCACTGGCATTTAGCTACAGAAAAGCAGAGCAGACATGACTGACAAACTTGCAAGACAAATGCACTCAAACCCTCACACATCGCCATCTTTCTGACAGTATCAACAAAAATTGCACATTTATGCACTGGTAACATGGCTACGGATTGTAATAGATTACTCAAGGCTTGGATAAAATTCAAAGATTGCACATACTGTATATGAGTATTTATTGTATACGTCTATACCTTTATGCAGGGTGTGCTGCATATAGAAGCACACATTAGTGCATTTGTCTTATAAGTAAGTAAGAACCTCCATTATACAGCAGATACTGATGGTTTGTGTCACACAAATATTTTAAGTACTTAATATTTTAGTGTGAATTATAACAGACCAAATTAGGTATTAATTTGTATGGTGGAGATTGGTTTGGTAAGTAAAAATGATTTTCTTCTGGCAAAGAATTTACTTTGCAGTGGTGTGATGGTACTTTCACATTTCAGGATGTGATCAAATGAAAAGCGTGTTTATGGACAGTGTGTTGGCCCTTTTAGATGACACACCATCCCAGTCACATGGATGTCTGATGACTATTGAATCTGTCTGCAGAATCGACAAGGACATGCACGGTAAAGTGGAGATCGCAACTGCTGCCATACCGGAGTGACCCTGCTCGCACTGCAAGATGTGGAGGAGGAGCACAACAATCTAATGTATATGCTCTGGGCAACGTGACTGGAGACTTGGCTCTTTGCATCAGGAGAGTGCCTTTTTGAAACTATGCTGCCTGTTACATTGTGGAACTTTTTACAGCTCAATCCTCTGCATTTTTCCACATTCTGTCTGAAACTTTTTAATCTTTTTTAGTTATTTACTACCGGTATATCATGTCACACTTAGCTTATTGGTGTTCCCTAGTTACTGTTGTATCTACACGTTATTTAAGGCACTCTGTTACAAATGGTTGATGCATGTTCTGCTTTATTACATTTAAATATATATATTTATATTCAAAAGGTGACAATGGAGAGAAATTAATATATTTTTATGGTTGCTCTGATTTTAGACTGCATTTTAGGTGTCTGAGTGGCATTTCGTAGAACAAGTTCTGACAGCACCTTTTTCACTGTTCACTGCTGGCGTTCTCTGTTAAAATCCTGCCTGGGGAAAATAAAGTTTTATTTTTTGCCCCTCACCTGAATGTGCCCTCTGACTTGAGGAGGGAGAACATGGTGACAGCAACAATTTTTTTATATTTTTTTTATTCCATCCGGTCCTGTTTTGCAGTTGTTACAAGACAGAGGTTTATGTTAGCACTGAAACTGTACAGTGACCAAATGAAGAGTATGTTAAGATTCAAATAACCAACATTTTTTTTCCTCAGCTTTGCAGATCTCTTCCACTTAGAATCCACTAGATGGCACCACAAACACATGTCATTGAAATCATAAAAAATAAAAATAAAAAAAGACATGGCATAAGTTCCCCATCAATACCTTCGCAATAATATTAAAACGAGGGATTATTAGCAGCAGATAATTAAGTCATGACAAGATCTATAACAATATCTTGACATAAGATTAACAGCCACATAATAAAAAAAATATACAATATGGATCATATTTCAGAAATGACTTAATAGCAATAGAATATTTCAATACATTTCATCAGAAGATCCCTAATTTTTTATAATAAATTAATATGGTTTCTATAATATTATTTTACATTTCAAATGATTAGAAGCTTTACAAAATGGTGGCATATTAATCTGTTAATAACTGGCGTTACCTAAAGCCTTGAAACGCAGAACTGACTCCAAACATCTAATAGCAGTGTCATCAACCTCGGGATCAAACTTATTTGCAAAGAGGTGGTGTTGTGTGAGGAGCCACTGGAGGTCGCCAGCACCGTACACGCAAACAGCTCTTCTGTAAGCCCCAGTGCAAGGATAGTACGGGGCTCCATTTTTCATTTCTCCTGCTAAATAGCTCCACTTTACCAAACGAGCAATGGCATTCATGTCTGACATGTCATACTTAATGTTGGCAGGCACTGATCCGGGAACAGAAGGCATCCGTTAGTGTGGCCCACAAGTGCTCATCTGGGCTGTATGTGTCCTTCTCCCACTCCAGAAATGTCTGAATCTCTCTGTCCTGCATGACATGTTTTACAAAGGCTCTTGTGACCACAAAGTAAGCATTTCCTTGGAACATGGGGCTGCTAATGGGTGGAGGACTTTTCCTCTCACTTGTCCTGATGACTGTGTTAGAGACATTGTGATGATACTGCCAGCGGCCTTTCTTGTAGTCATTGGTGACCTCAGACTCCATGCTGTTTCTCCCATTGAGGGCCTTCAGAGCCTGAACCATCTCTCCATTGGTTTTGATGGGAAAGTCTGTCCCGCAGGTGTTGAGCAGGTACCTCCACTGGACATGTGAGCTCAGCAGATCTTTCATGCAGTTCAAATCTGCCTGCACTCTGGACCATGAGGCATATACCACATTTTCTAATTTACTGGCTACAAACACATTAGGAAAGCAGGAGATAATTGCCTCCACAGCCTTCTGAAATTCTTTGGAGGATTTCTGGTCCACATGCACACAGTAGATGTTCTGAGGAGTGTAAATAGCTCGTAGAAGTCGCTCAAACATCTCAATCTTCTCATGAATCACCATGGAGTAGGCAATGGGAAAATCCCTCTCCTCTTCACTGAGCGGCACTGTCATGAAACCTCTCTTTTCAATGTAAGCTTGGCAGTCTTTTGTCACATTGAGGTAGAAGTCCTCAGATAGAAAATTGTGTCTTTTCCTGGATGCCAGAAGCACTTCCAATTCGTTCTCCTTGCTCTCTACATCCCCACTGATGATAGCCGAGCAGCCAGGCAGGTCAATAGAGAACTGCAGTGGTATTGTGTGATCAGATGATGACTGCCTGTCAAAAGGAGAGAGAGTTTGCTGAAGGATAAAATAAAGGAGCATACCCGTGAGGATGAGAGAGAGGGTCCTCACCAACATCTGACCCTTCAACAACCATCCGAAAGCCATTTCCTTGCTCGAAGTCTGCTTGATGTGACTTTGGTGACCTTATGACGAGAGGCTGTAGTTCTTCATTTAATAAAGGAGCACAAGCTGAATCAGCCCCCTAAGTAGGTGTGTCAAACTAAGGCGTGGAAGGAATTTCATTTAAACACCTTCCTGGTTGATCCTAAAATAGGATCTGACTTATTGCACAAGTCCTGGTGGATGTTTCAACATTTATGCTATGTATACACTCAGGGCTTGACATTTATTTATTTATTTATTTCAAGCAAAATAGTGTGACAACAGAAAAGATACACAATAATAATAACTTATACACTTATGCTTGAAATGGAGTGGGAAGAAGTAAAACTTATTAAACCCCACCCCAGTCTATCAAAGAATTTATACATACAAAAAATAGCTGCTTCCTTCATCAATAATCTCAAAGAAAAAATATTAATAATTAAAATAAATAAATAATTAATAATAATAATAATAATAATAATACCTCATTTAGAAACAGTGGATGCACAAGTCAAAACCACACATTCATACCATACATACTAATAATATACAAATATTTCCACAGGTAACAATGCTTATCAAATACCAACAATGGTAGACGAAATACCACAAGGGTACATAATGATTATCAAATACCAACAATGGTAGATGGACTACCACAAGGGTAAATAAATGACAACTAATCCAACAATCTACACAACATGAATACAATCAAACCTCATTGTCATTGTAATGACATTAACTTTTTTACTCACTAGCCAGAGTGGCTAGTGCTTCATCATAGTCACTAGCCACGCAGCATTGTTGTTGGGAAATTACGCTTTATACAATTAAAGTTGACAATAGCATGCTTAAATTGGCGTGCTAAAATGTACTAATATTATCATTAGCTCCGATAAGGTTGTGTGTAAAACTCCCTTTTGTTGAAAAAATAGTCTATTAAGATAAACACATTAAAATAGCAGCTTCTTATTGTATATAATAAAAGTGCTGCATGGGTGTAAAAGATTAACTGAAAAGGTAAAAACTAAACTAAAAACAAAATTCACCAGAAACATTGTTTAAATGCTATTTATTTATAAAAGCAGCAGGTTAAATACTGTAAAACAGAGTAGAAAAATTATCTGCATTAGAAACAAAGAGCAAAGGTGAAAAAATCACACACAATTAAGGCAATAGGATTAAAATGTTATGTATAGGCCTATATCATTTTTGTGCACTTTTGGAGTGTTTGTTTTGCATCTGCATTTCCTCAGAGCTCTGACTGGATTTATGTTTATCATCATGAAGCTCTGAGTAACTGGAGATATGAATTGAGTATACAGGTCTTTATTTTCCAGATTATTCCCCTACAAACGCATCTTCTGCTTTCATTCATGGCATGAAAACTTTTTATTAAACCATAGAATCAACTCTGGAAAGGTAGTTGTGATATGACGATTTGAAGGGCAGCCCTGCTAGTAGTCTGTTTTCTTTTATAAACACCAGCATGTCCCTTAATCATGAAGATATCGATATTTTACAGCATTTAATGGTACTTTCCTGCTGCTTTTCTCCGCCTCTGCTCTGCCTGTTCTCTTTCCTTCGTTCTCCTGTGCATTTTCTCTCCACACTCCTCTGCCACGCACTGACTGAACACTGTGTTGATGTGCGTGTGCATGCGACCAGTCGCGTGTGATGACCATAAACTGTATATAAGAAGGTGACGACAGAGATCAAAACATCAAATTAAAAGCGACCGGGAGGCTAACAGTCTACAGGTCTGAGTGCAGTTTCATTCGACTTTATATATTTTCTTTTATGAAAGTCTGGATGTAATTTTCTATTTGACGTGCGCACTCGCGAGAGAAGTGAGAGAGTGAGACGCGCAAGTTGTGTGGATTCACCTGCTATTAAAAAAGCTTGCTTTGTGATCGCTGCCTTTGGTTGAGTGGATAATTAACGACAGGCCAGACTAGTCTGACAGCCAGTCTGTGAGTTAAATCTCTACAACGTTTTCTTGTTTACAATGTTGTTCGTCAGTAGCGTTAAAGACAATAGGCTTCAGTAATGAAGCTTAGAGTTGTGACAAAACACAAAACACAGCATATGATAGGCTACGTTACAATCCAGAATATTGGGGTCACAAGAACAAGACTAGAAGATATTTTATTATTACGTTTACACTACATCCACACACTGAGCCTAGGTGCTCAAACAGAAACTAACATTCACACAATGGCGGAACAGGCGCCAAGGAGACTTCGACATGAAGCCTGGGGGAGCCGGGGATTGAACCGCCGACCTTTCGATTAACGGCCCACCAGCTCTTCCCACTGAAAACAGCCGCCCCAATGTGACGTAAATATATAGAGAAAACACATCTGCATTGTCAAAAAAAATTACTTAAGCTAAAAGAAAACTATTTACTGATTACTGCATTATATTCAATTATATTTTATATTCGGAATCGTCACCTGCCACCTGAATTTTGTGTTTCCCTTTATATAAATAAAGACATTTCCACCATAAATTGGTGCGGAAAATATCTCCAGAATGCAGGAAATTAAGTGTTTAATGCTCAAAATCATCTGGGGGAGGACCCACAGACCCCCCAATCCTATATTTTCATCAATGAATATTTCTTTAAATGGCTTTTTGGGATAAACAACAGAAAAAGTGTTGGGGACATGTTCCCAGCCTCCCCAGTGTAAATTACACCTAAGCAGGTGGGGAGAATAGACTGATTTTCTAAAGTTTAGTGTTAATCACCATTTAACTCAGCCAGTTAGGAGCTACATGAAGCCTTAGATGTTTTATGAAAAAGATGCCTTAGGAATCAATGAACAACTCATCCTGACAGACCACAATGGAGTGGAAATATTGGACTCAGAAGGAACAAGAGGTGCTTCATTAGAACAATTTTATTTACCATCTCAAATTATAGTTTAGGTAACCCTGTGTCTTGAAAATGTACTGTGACAGTAGCATGAACTTTTAAGTTGCTTCACAGCTAAGTGGCAAATATATTGGGCTATTAATTGTCACGTCAACATTTATAAAGTCTCACATTTTAAACTGGAACCATAAACAATGTCAAACCTTTGCCATTTCAGATAAAAACTAAATGAATATACATTCACATGTCCGTCTTCAAGAGTGAGGCTACTCACTACTGGCTACTGTTACACCCCCTCAGTTTTTCCTCCTGACATCAGGCACTGTAAAAGGCTAAGCATGGCCTGAATTAAAGAGCAGAGCTGGTCTGATACAACATATTCAAAGAGAATACATGAAAGTACCTAATGGCACATTTCTCCGTCAGTCTGTCCAGAAACACTGCCATGTTTATCTGAGTCTTTCCTTTGATACAACTATATCTCCTACAATTGGACAGTTTCAGTCAATGGACACTTTATGCAATATTTGATTGGCACAAAAGCAATCGTTTCTGTGTCCATAATCAATCTGAATGTAATGGCATGTGCATACATTAACAGTTTCTAATTATTTAATATATACATGTGACGTTTCTCTTTCACAGATGCAGAGATGATGAGGGTGGACTGGACAGTGTGTTCGAGAAGATCGAGGTAATTGTCCTGGCTGCTCAGGGTTGTCTGAGGTGACAACTCCCATTCAGGGACTCTCTGACCTGCTCCATCGAAACAGGAACACAACATTTACTGACCGAAGAACAGTCCAGAAATGTTAGGGATACATTCACTTGTCTGGTTTACAGAGGTAAGTCTTGTCCTCAAGAAGACAAAAATAATCTATTCACCCTGACAAACATATTGTTGTTGTTTGGTGGAATTTATGATGTAGTGGTCATTTAAAAGCTCAAGTGTCCTGCTCCTGGTGTTCTTTGTATAGCCAATTGAGATTAAGGAAACCAGTCTGTAAAAACAGAGCCATTCCTTAAGCGTACATCAGGAATTTACATCCGTGATGTTAAGTGGCACAGGGTGTGCTTGGAGCATCTGTAGACACAGAAAGGAATTTGTTAATTCTCTCTGAACTTATACCATACATAGACTCAGTTACATAAAGGATGCTTTTTTGAAACGCTGTCTGACATTCAATTGGAAAATATTTTTCATTCTTCATCTAGTATATCTTGTATTGTGTTTTCAGACCTCTAATATTTATTTCTTACACTGGCAGGAATCATGGAAGATCCAGTATTTGCAGCATGCTGTGGAAGTTTGGTCGGATGCAGATCCTGCACTACTGTGTGGCTTCAGAATTCCTCAATGTGTTTGAAGTGTCAAGCGGATGATTTTTCCATCAACATTCACAGAGTCACTGGCCTTTCTGGTGTAGTAAATGTCATGAGAGAGCTGGCACACGAAGAGTAAATGCTGCTTTTCTGCTTGCCACCAATCCTTATTTGTCAGTGTTATATCATGTTATAAATACTTTTGATATTGAGGACTGATGTTTTTTATGTCGCATCTTAGTTCTGGAGTTTTAAGAGCTAGAAAATGTAACGATGTTTTATGTTACATCATTGTTCCCACCTCACAGTAGTTTTATAAGAGCTAGTAGGTCTAAATGTGGCAAGATGTTTTTATGCTACATTATTGTTCTCAGCCCACAGTGATTTTATAAGAGCTAGTAGGCCTAAACATGGCAATATGTTGTGACAGGCTCTTCTGTGGAGATTTGCAAAGCTGGACTTACTTTGTTTGTCTGATTATTCTTTCTGTACAAACGCAAAATAAATATATTTCTTCTCCATAAAACGACCCTGTGAATAATGGCTAATATGGGTACAATGACAGTAAAAGGATTTATTAATGGTAACAAAATAGGCAGTTGACATTTTTATAGTGACACTTATATACACATATAAAGTAAAACTTGTATGGTAAATACTATCAGGGTATACTTACACCCTCTACTGTTGGAGTAGTAACTGCATAATGGTGTCCACAGACACAGATGTCCAGCGATCCGTTACAAGGCTCCTCACAATCCAGTGCATATGAAATTAGGAACAAGTGTTTGTTACATCGATGAGGTAGATCAAGGCCTCTTTGAAGGGAGCATAGTTGTAATTGACAGCACTGTCAAAAATAACTGAAAGGTGGGGATAATAATGTGCAAAGGGCTGCTCTGCTCTCACTTTGTCTGCCTCAGACAGAAAGGGGACACTTCCGAATGAAGATACTCTGGTGAGGGAGGATCCCATGTCCCTGTGATACATGTCAGCTGCAACTGTGGCATCTGGTAGAAGATCGGTTGTGATTTGTCTTGGTGTTCCAGTCCCTGCTAGGTGATTTGGTATCCCTCTCTCTTTAACAACACAAGAAATGTTTGTTGTGATGTTCAATAATAAAACACTTAAACTGAATAACTTGTAAGGGAAATGTGACATACCTGGAATCCCGTGAGCATTCCATGATTGCACAAATCTGTTTATGCCAATCTGGCACATCTGGCAGGTCAGATTGGATGTGCAGAACCTTGTCAGACTGTCCTCCATATCTATTGCTTCCTGATCTTGTAGCTGGATGAGGGCCTCCTTTAATGGATAATTCACTCTGTTGTTAATTTCTGGCCACATCCTTTCCACTGTGTGATTCTGTGTGTGTGTTTGTTTTTTAAGGAGATGATAGAGGTTTGTTAGCAACGTGTTTCTATGTTATTAACAGTTGGGAACTAGTGAATAGACTAAGAATAACCTTGTTGTGTAAAATCCCCAAGACCACACAATGTTGAAAACATCATAAGAAAAAGTTATGGAATCAAAATCCTAGAATAAGTATTATCTGAAGTACTGATTGTAACCACTCTTGACAATTGGCCCAGGTTATTGATATATTTGAAATTATTAGATTACTCATTATGTAGTGGAGTATAAAGTAGCAGGACATGGATATGCTCAAGTATAGTACAAGTTCCTCAGACTTGTACTTAAGTGCATTACTTGGCTTAATATAGCCTACTTAGTTACTTTTCACCAATGGTGTAATGTAGATGCAGATGGTTGACATTACCCTTGTTGACTGTGTTTGGAGGTATGGCTGTCTTTGCTGCATGTAGAGGCACAGGTAAAACTCTTTGCCATGATCCACGCGAAGTTGATCCCACATTCCATAATGTGTTACTGCAGGTCTACATAAACACATGTGAAACGCTCAATTATTAATATTATAACAATTGATAAAATATGTTCGATCAAACATAACATACAACACTGACCTGTACACCTCTTCATAGATGGCTAGATTGTTCTTTGCAGGCATACTTGTATTTTGCACCAATTTTCTTGCTGTATCCATCTACAGCAATCACATGAGTCACTCCAAACATGACCGATTTTTCATTTTGGTCAGTGTGCATCTTTTGTCCCATATGCAAGCAAGAAAATATATTAGTCAGCATTACATATAGGCTAGGTATACATGTGCATGGTATAGGCTACATGGCCAGAAGGGTCTGCCAGCAGACCTCTGTGGGACTCATCCCATCTGTCGGGACAGAAATTACATCAGAATCACCCACAACTTTGTAAACAAAAGGTAACCACCATAATACATAAACAGTTCATGTCAAATATTTAAGTTGAAACAATAATGCATAGAATTAATTGAAAAATATTATCTGGATGTGCACGGTTAAAAGGCCACAAAGCACAAAGACTAATTCCATAGATTTCACGAATGGTTGACTGTGATTCAGAATATGCTGATATAGGATATGATTTAAAATACTATGTTGTGCAAGGTATTTTAACTGCTGAACTTTAATGTTAACTTAGGCTATATGACGGTTTAATGATATTACTGTACACTGGCTAATGAAATGCAGAGGAGGTGTATCATCCCAATTTGTTATCTTAAACCTTTATAGAAAGCCATTTAAACATTTATTCCGTAAAACGCACTAGTCGCTATTTAAAAACTACTAGTACTTATTTATTAGCTACTAGTAACTATCCCTGTTTTACTAGTAACAATTGATTACATACTAGTACTTAATTTTTTGTTACTAGTGACTATTCCATTAGTTCCATTAGCAGGGCTTGACATTAACTTTTTTACTCACTAGCCAATGTGGCTAGTGGTTTTTCACTAGCCACGCAGCATTTTCACTAGCTACATTTTTGTTGTTGGGAAATTACGCTTTATACAATTAAAGTTGACAATGGCACGCTTAAATTGGCGTGCTAAAATGTACTAATATTATCATTAGCTATCATTAAATACTATTTATTTAAAAAAGCAGCAGGCTAAATGCTGTAAAAAAAAAAAGTAGAAAAATTATCTGCATAGAAACAAAGAGCAAAGGTGAAAAAATCACACACATTTAAGGCAATAGGATTAAAATGTTATGTATAGGCCTATATCATTTTTGTGCACTTTTGGAGTGTTTGTTTTGCATCTGCATTTCCTCAGAGCTCTGACTGGATTTATGTTTATCATCATGAAGCTCTGCAGTAGCTCTGAGTAACTGGAGATATGAATTGAGTATACAGGTCTTTATTTTCCAGATTATTCCCCTACAAACGCATCTTCTGCTTTCATTCATGGCATGAAAACTTTTTATTAAACCATAGAATCAACTCTGGAAAGGTAGTTGTGATATGACGATTTGAAGGGCAGCCCTGCTAGTAGTCTGTTTTCTTTTATAAACACCAGCATGTCCCTTAATCATGAAGATATCGATATTTTACAGCATTTAATGGTACTTTCCTGCTGCTTTTCTCGCCTCTGCTCTGCCTGTTCTCTTTCCTTCGTTCTCCTGTGCATTTTCTCTCCACACTGCTCGGCCACGCACACTCTCGTGTGTGCATTTGACCAGTCGCGTGTGATGACCATAAACATATAACAAGGCGATGACAGAGATCAAACCATCAAGTTAAAAGCGAGGGAGGCTAACGGTCTACAGGTCTGAGGGACTTTGGTTGATCTGTGACAGATTCAACTTTATATATTCTCTTTTACAAAAGTCTGGATGTCATATTTGACGTGCGCACTCGCGAGAGAAGTGAGACGCGCATGTTGTGTGGATTCACCTGCTATTAAAAAGCTTGCTTTGTCATCCAACGAAGGTAAAAAATGAAAGGGCAACTGGACTTGGTTGAAGCTACTGGAAGACGTTTCGTCCCTTATCCAAAGGACTTCTTCAGTTCTGACTGACTGGCAGGGAAACTCAGCTATTTAACCTCAGTGGGGTCTTATCTCGGGTCATCGATACCGCTGGTTCGTTAGTGTTCCTTGTTGCTGTGACGACAGTCGTTACAGTCGTTGAGACTACCTGTGGCCAAGACTGAACGACCATCGTTGGTATCTTCACCTGAGGCCAATAGGTTACGTTTGTTGAGTTTCCTGGGAAGTGATGAAAGGACAGCATTGTAAGTGGGGGATAAGTGGTGGCGTAGACCCCCTCCCCTGTTCAATGACGGCTTCTCAACCCTGGTGTAGATGGCTTCCTTGACACCTCTTTCAAACCATCCATCTTCTCTGTCTAAAATGCGCACCTGGTGGTCCTCAAACGAGTGTCCTCTGTCCTTCAGATGTAAGTAGACAGCAGAGTCTTGACCTGAGGAGTTGGCCCTTCTGTGTTGAGCCATGCGTTTGTGTAGTGGTTGTTTAGTCTCCCCAATATACAGGTCCGTGCATTCCTCACTGCATTGGACCGCATACACTAGATTGCTTTTCTTGTGTTTGGGTGTGCGGTCTTTGGGGTGTACCAGCATCTGTCTTAGCGTGTTCTTGGGTTTAAAAAACACAGGGATGTTATGTTTGTTAAAAATCCTCCTGAGTTTCTCTGATACTCCAGACACGTATGGAATCACAATGTTGTTGCGTTTGACCTTCTTTTCCTCCTCCCCTGTAGTTTTGTTCTTCTTGGATTTTGTGGCTGTCTTCACAAAAGCCCATTTAGGGTATCCACAGGCTGTAAGTGCCCCCTTCAGGTGGTTCTGTTCCTTCTCTCTGGCTTGGGCGCTTGTTGGTATGTTTTCCGCTCTGTGGTGCAGTGTTCTCATGACCCCTAGCTTGTGCTCCAGTGGGTGGTGTGAATCGAAGAGTAGGTATTGGTCTGTGTGTGGGTTTTCTGTAAACACCAATCTGCAGGCTCCTGTCCTCTTCAATGTGTACAGCGCAGTCCAGGAAGGCCAAACTGTTGTTGTGAACATCTTCTCGTGTGAACTTGATGTTACTGTCCACAGAGTTGATGTGTTCTGTGAAGGCTTGCACTTCCTGGCTTTTGATTTTGACCCAGGTGTCGTCCACATATCTGTACCAGTGGCTCGGTGCTATTCCTCTGAAGGAGTTGAGGGCTTTATTCTCCACTTCTTCCATGTAGATGTTGGCCACAATCGGGGATACCGGTGAGCCCATGGCACAGCCATGCTTCTGTCTGTAGAATCCACCGTTGTACTGGAAATAGGTGGTGTTTAGACAGAGGTCGAGTAATTTGCAGATTTGGTCAGGGCTAGCTAGTTCTGTTGTCCAGGGTGTTGTCTTGTGTTAGCCGTTTCCTAACGGTTTCTACTGCCTCTATGGTGGGGATGCAGGTGAACAAAGAAGTCACGTCATAGGATACCATGGTTTCATCTGGATCCAGTTTTAGTCCTCGAACTTTGTTTTTCCAATTCAATAGAGTTTTGGATGTGGTGAGGCGTGTTTCCCACCAATGGAGCTAAGATGGTGGAAATGTGTTTGGCAATGTTGTAGGTGACCGAGTTAATGCTGCTGATAATCGGCCTGAGTGGGGCTCCTTCTTTGTGTATCTTGGGTAGTCCATAAATGAATGGAATGGCTTCTCCAGGATACAAACGGTAATATTGTTCACGGGTGATGGTGTTGTCCTTCTGTAACTGTTGTAGACATTCTATGGCCTTTTTCTTGTATCCGCTGGTTGGGTCTCGTCTCAGTGTCTCATACGTGTTTGTGTCCATTAGTAGTATGTTGACTTTGTTCTGGTAGTCAGCTGTGTTAAGTACTACCGTGCATCTTCCTTTGTCCGCAGGTAGGATAGTGATGTTTTGATCCTTGCTCAGGGATGTCACAGCCTTCCTTTCTTGGATGGTGAGGTTGGAAGGGGGGGCCTTCGCATTAGAAAGGGCTGCAGATACCTTTAGTCTGAGCTGTTCCGCTTCTGTTTCTGTTAATTTGTTTTTCCTAATGGCTGATTCTGTGGCTGTGATGAGGTCTACTATCGGTAGTTGCTGTGGTGTAATGGCAAAGTTTAATCCTTTGGCCAGAACGTCTTTCTCTGGTTGGGTGAGTTCCCTATCTGACAAGTTTTTCACCCATCTGTTGTCTGTTTCAAGTGTTGTGGGGTTATTGTCCTTTCTCCTCCAAGACAATTCTCCTGTTTTGTTAGTGCAGCTCGCTCTGGACTGTAGGTTTTGGAATTTCCGGGTCTGTCTTTCTTTGCTCTTGTTGTGCTGAGATAGCTGTGCTTTCTTGATGAAGTCCATGACCTTTACCAGTGCTGTACTGGGCAGATGTGTTTCTAGTTTGTGGTGTATGTTGTCCATTTCTTTGTTCAGGGCTTCAATTGTGAAGTGTATCTGTCTCACTCTCTCGTTCAGTAGCTAGTGTTGTGCTTTCTCCAGGATTATTCCGGCTCTGTGTCCTTTTACTGTGGAGCCTAAGTGTAGGCTGTTGGGAATAAGTTTGTGTTGTCTGCATCTCAGGTTGAATCGTAGGTGATTCCTGTAGTCTGCAATTTTCCTGGCTGTCCTTTCATACTCCCGTACCAATCTGAGGGTGTTCATCCCAAAATGATTAGCAAGATGTCTATGAAGATTCTCAGTCATCCAGGTCATAGTTATCCAAGGTAAAAAATGAAGGGCAACTGGACTTGGTACCAGTCCAGTTTACCAAGTCCAGTTGCCCTTCATTTTTTACCTTCGTTGGATAACTATGACCTGGATGACTGAGAATCTTCATAGACAGCTTGCTTTGTCATCGCTGCCGTTGGTTGAGTGGATAATTAACGACAGGCCAGACTAGTCTGACAGCCAGTCCGCGAGTTAAATCTCTACAATGTTTTCTTGTTTACAATGTTGTTCGTCAGTAGCGCGAAAGACAATAGGTTTTACTAATGAAGTTGTGACAAAACACAAAACACAGCATATGATAGGCTACGTTACAATCCAGAATATTGGGGTCACAAGAACAAGACTAGAAGATATTTTATGTTCTGAAGAATAGCTTACAACAAGAAATGTTAAATAACAAATGTAAGTGCTATGAGAGTTTTTTTTGGCACAATAAGAAAACATGCATTGCAATGTAAATATATATAGAAAACACATCTGCAAAAATTACTTAAGATAAAAGAAAACTGTTTACTGATTACTGCATTATATTCAATTATATTTTTATATTCTGAATCGTCACCTGCCACTTTTTCACTAGCCACATTTTTGTTGTTGGGAAATTACGCTTTATACAATTAAAGTTGACAATGGCACGCTTAAATTGGCGTGCTAAAATGTACTAATATTATCATTAGCTATCATTAAATACTATTTATTTAAAAAAGCAGCAGGCTAAATGCTGTAAAAAAAAAAAGTAGAAAAATTATCTGCATTAGAAACAAAGAGCAAAGGTGAAAAAATCACACACATTTAAGGCAATAGGATTAAAATGTTATGTATAGGCCTATATCATTTTTGTGCACTTTTGGAGTGTTTGTTTTGCATCTGCATTTCCTCAGAGCTCTGACTGGATTTATGTTTATCATCATGAAGCTCTGCAGTAGCTCTGAGTAACTGGAGATATGAATTGAGTATACAGGTCTTTATTTTCCAGATTATTCCCCTACAAACGCATCTTCTGCTTTCATTCATGGCATGAAAACTTTTTATTAAACCATAGAATCAACTCTGGAAAGGTAGTTGTGATATGACGATTTGAAGGGCAGCCCTGCTAGTAGTCTGTTTTCTTTTATAAACACCAGCATGTCCCTTAATCATGAAGATATCGATATTTTACAGCATTTAATGGTACTTTCCTGCTGCTTTTCTCTGCCTCTGCTCTGCCTGTTCTCTTTCCTTCGTTCTCCTGTGCATTTTCTCTCCACACTGCTCGGCCACGCACTGACTGAACGCTGTGTTGATGTGCGTGTGCATGCGACCAGTCGCGTGTGATGACCATAAACATATAACAAGGCGATGACAGAGATCAAACCATCAAGTTAAAAGCGAGGGAGGCTAACGGTCTACAGGTCTGAGGGACTTTGGTTGATCTGTGACAGATTCAACTTTATATATTCTCTTTTACAAAAGTCTGGATGTCATATTTGACGTGCGCACTCGCGAGAGAAGTGAGAGAGTGAGACGCGCACGTTGTGTGGATTCACCTGCTATTAAAAAGCTTGCTTTGTCATCGCTGCCGTTGGTTGAGTGGATAATTAACGACAGGCCAGACTAGTCTGACAGCCAGTCCGCGAGTTAAATCTCTACAATGTTTTCTTGTTTACAATGTTGTTCGTCAGTAGCGCGAAAGACAATAGGTTTTACTAATGAAGTTGTGACAAAACACAAAACACAGCATATGATAGGCTACGTTACAATCCAGAATATTGGGGTCACAAGAACAAGACTAGAAGATATTTTATTATTACGTTTACACTACATCCACACACTGAGCCTAGGTGCTCAAAGAGAAACTAACATTCACACAATGGCGGAACAGGCGCCAAGGAGACTTCGACATGAAGCCTGGGGGAGCCGGGGATTGAACCGCCGACCTTTCGATTAACGGCCCACCAGCTCTTCCCACTGAAAACAGCCGCCCCAATGTAACGTAAATATATAGAGAAAACACATCTGCATTGTCAAAAAAAATTACTTAAGCTAAAAGAAAACTATTTACTGATTACTGCATTATATTCAATTATATTTTTATATTCGATATCGTCACATACCACCTGAATTTTGTGTTCCCTTTATATAAATAAAGACATTTCCACCATAAATTGGTGCGGAAAATGTCTCCAGAACGCAGGAAATTAAGTGTTTAATGCTCAAAATCTTCTGGGGGAGGACCCACAGACCCCGCAGTCGTATATTTTCATCAATAAATATTTCTTTAAATAGCATTTTGTGATAAACAACAGAAAAAGTGTTGGGGACATGTCCCCAGCGTCCCCAGTGTAAATTTCACCTATGCAGGTGGGGCAAATAGACTGATTTTCTAAAGTTTAGTGTTAATCGCCATTTAACTCAGTCAGTTATGAGCTCCATGAAGCCTTAGATGTTTTATGAATCTGGTCCCTCCAGCACAGGTTTTATCAGCTGGCAATTTTCAATGCACATTTAAGAGTGCAAGTTGCAACTATTATTAACAATAATTGAAAGCTCAGGCTTATCAATAGCAGTAATAACAATGAACATAGGCCTATGTGCAGTTCTATCACCAAACTCATTCATTACAGAATATTAACAGTGAGGACACAAAGTGGTCCACATCATCTCAAGCACACTTATCGTCCAAAACGTCTCGGGTTACGTATGTAACCCTTGTTCCCCGAGAAGGGGAATTAGACACTGCGTCGGTGACGACACTATGGGAAACGCCTCTGGGCGTGGCAGGGCTGAATCATGAATGAAACTATTCCAATCCTATTGGTGTTGCTAGAATGGTAGCGTGTGATGGCGCAACTAGAGGCGTATATAAGCACAAGGAACTCGAACTGCGTCGGTGACAACACTAAGGGAACGAGATACCCACTAGGCCGTGCCGAAACCCTCGCCTTCCCCCAGCTTGCAGTACCCAGTAGGCACGACTAAGAGGGGAGCGCACGGGTGCTGGGTGCAGAAGGAAGGTCCAGACTGTAAAACCGGATGAAAGTGTGAGGAGTGGCCCAGCCAGCTGCCTCACACAAATCCTGGAGAGAAGCCCCTGAGAGGAGGGCCCTAGAGGCCATCATGCCTCTCGTAGAGTGCGCCCTCACGGCCATCTTAAGGGTCAGGTGCTTGGCCTCAGCCGACTCCAGGGGTTCGAAGGGGGCCCCAGCCAACGCTTCGAGATCCACTGCCAGGTCCCAAGTGGGAACCCTGGAAAAAGGGCCAGGTGAAAGACCCGGCCCTCCACCTGTGTCTGAAGCTTCTATCCATCCATACCGTAGCCTACGTGATGTGATTTTCAAAAATAGCCTTGATGGCAGATGCAAGCCAATAAGACTAAATAGCCATATTATATTTTATTATTAATTACTATTGCCCAGGTTTTATGGAATTTGCAAATAAAACAGCTGCTTTATGTAAACATGACACCAATGTGTCCCTGAGTAAGACACTTAACCCCTAGTTGCTCCAGAGACGTGCGACCTCTGATATATATAGCAATTGTAAGTCGCTTTGGATAAAAGTTACAGCTAAATGAATAAATGTAATGTAAATGTAATGTAAACGCAATGAACATAAAGCCAAAAAAAGAGAACGTGATAAAATATGATCTACTCCACTGTGTCAAAACAGCAACCAGCTTTTGTTAGTTTTAATAAAACACCACCAGGTAGTTGCCTACTAACATATGTACACTCCTGTGACCACGTTTTCCCATAGCAAGCGCATTATACTACTGAATCCCCTCTGTGAGCGTGCGTATTATCATGATGGAGAACCAAAATGCCAGTGCATCAGAGATGAAAAATGGCGAAGGGGCAAATCTTTATATACACAGGGCCCTTCACGGCGTGAAGCGCATAGCGCAGTTGCGTTTGGGGCGTGTCCAACTCCAATTTTGCCAGTTTGAGGGCATCAATAATTGTCTTGGCGCCGGGCGCATGGTTCAAAAGAGTCGTACTTAGTCTGTGAATAAGTCATGGGTGTGTAGGGCATAACACATGGCAATACACCAATCAGTGTCATCTCCCTTTTAAAGCCAGGTGCGCTTGGATTCTCACTGCGCTGCGTTTATATAAATTATGAACCTGTTGTGGGTCACATCTCCCACACTGGTTTCATAGGTTTGTTGAACAAGTGTGCAGCACATCATTGAGTGTCTTAGCTGATGGAGCCGCACATTGCACCGACAGCGGTAGCATTCGCAAAAAATAGCTGGCAGCTCTCACACGCATTTTCTTAAGGAAATGCCCATTCTAGTCAGGTCTGTTACCTGACCGTCTCCTGACTTGGGTTGGGGGGCCTCCACACACAATGCTAGAACAGAAAACTGCCATTAGTAGATAGTCGTATCCAAACAATCATATTTCTCTTATAATAGACAGGGTCTCTACCTGAGCCGCTGTCACTAACACAGCAATTAGTGTCATTCCCTTCAGAATCCCGGTGACAAGTTAGACACTGGCTGGGTCTGGGTCCAGTGCAATGCCTACACGAGGTGTCACATGCCTCACAGGTGTCCTACAATGGTATAATATCACAAGGACAAAGTTGGTTATAGACATTAGGCCAGTCAGAAATGTGGTCTCTTTGGAACAACCTCTTTGTACAGAAGTGGCTTTTATTGACATCTGTTGTTGTTCTGAGTAAATATCTGTCTGCACATTTGTGTTGCTTGTTGTAGAAAGATGCCCTGAAAATTTAATTTCTAACCTTAAGTATTGGCGGTCTTTCAATTGAAATGGGCCCTGCACTCCAAAAAGGGCCCCCGAGTGACACGCAAGAATTTCAGAATTCAACCATTTTTAAAATAAACGACTTATTTCACTCAATGTGTAGAGGCATGGAAGGAAGGGTGCTGAGGAGGCTGCAGCAAACCCTAAAACCAGGCATTATAAAAAAACATCAATTGATTAAAAAAGTGTGACGCAGACTCACAGCAAGAGATGTGATATAAAAACTTTCACAATATTGCTACATCCCGACTGGTGCACAGAAGTACATGACATCACATTTTCCAGCAGGTGCAGCAGCCTGTCAATTTTTGTATGTAGCAGTGTTTTCTCTTTGCTATTTTAAGCATGTTGTTTTTGTTCTTAATTTAGTTGTTTGTAGGTTTTTTTTATTTATTTCACCGTGGGTTGGTTAGTGAAAAACACTCATTTGTTAATGAGGCTAGCTGCAGACAGGAAGAAACTGTTTTTGTGGCGAGAGGTTTTGGTCCTGATGGACCTCAGCCTCCTCCTCGAGGCGTACAGGTCCAGAAGAAAAGGAAGATTGCAGCCAATCACCATCTCTGCAGAGCAAATGATGACACTGCTGCCACTGCCAGGGACAAGGGCAGGCTGCAGCGTACCAGATGGTGATGGAGGAGGTGAGGATGGACTCAATAATGGTGGTGAAGAAGTGCACCATCATTGTCTTTGGCAGGCTGAACTTCTTCAGCTGCCGCAGGAAGTACATCCTCTGCTGGGCCTTCTTGGTGAGGGAGGTGATGTTCAGTTCCTACTTGAGGTCCTGGGAGATGATGGTGCCCAGGAAGCGGAAGGAGTCCGTAGTGGTGACTGGGGAGTCACACAGGATGATGGGGGAGGGTAGGGCTGTGATGTCAACGACCATCTCCATGGTCTTCAGAGCGTTGAGCTCCAGACTGTTCTGGCTGCACCAGGTCACCAGATGGTCGATCTCCCACCTGTAGGTGGACTCATCCCCACCTGAGATGAACCCAGTGAGGGTGGTCAGGAGCTTGACAGACTGGTGACTGGAGGTGCAGCTGTTGGTGTACAGGGAGAAGAGAAGGGGGGAAAGAACGCAGCCTTGAGGGGAACCGGTGCTGATGGTCATGGAATCAGAGACATGTTTTCCCAGCTTCACGTGCTGCTTCCTGTCTGTCAGGAAGTCAGTCATCCACCTGCAGGTGGAGTCAGGCATGCTCAGCTGAGAGAGCTTGTCCTGAAGCAGGGCCAGTTCCTGGGGAGTCCAGGTGCTGGAGGATGTAGTGAAGGGCCATGTTTACTGCATCATCTACAGACCTGTTGGTTCTATGGGCAAACTGCAGGGGGTCCAGGAGTGGGACTGTAATGGATTTTAGGTGGGACAACACAAGGCGTTCAAAGGACTTCATAACCACAGAGGTCAATGCGGATGGCAGACAGCTCGGAGAAGAGGGGGAAAGAATTGGTAGACTGAGGCTGAAGCTGAGCGGAAGAGTCACGGGGGATGGTGTCCGATTGACTCTTAAAGCAGCAGTAGAACTGGTTCAACTCATTTGACAGGCGAGAAGTGGAGGACTTTGGGTTTGTGATCTGTCTGAACCCCCTCCAGACAGAAGTGACGTCGTTTGCAGAGAACTGGTTCTATAGTCTCTCTGAGTACAGTCGTTTAGCTTTATTGCCCTGCACCCGGCCCTGCCACCACTCCTAAATGCCTCCTCCTTTTCCAACCTTAGCTGTCTGAGTTTAGCTGTAAACCAAGGTTTGTCATTTTTATAACTCACCCTGGTCCGTGTTGGAATGCAGTTGAAATGCAGCTCGTAGCCAAGAGCGCACCTATTCTGAGTAGTATCGGCCCTCCTCACAACGTGGATAGCAGAATTTGTCCTTTACAGTGCTGCCCCAGTCGCATGTCATACAGGCCTGAGGCAAGGAATCTGAAAACATGCATTCATTACACACTGAGGATCAAATAAATGTAGTTATCATTATACAAAACAAGGTTGTACAACAAAATGAAATAACGATACATGAACTGACTCCTTACGCAAAAGTTGTCCAGTATTGACACAAGTGAAAAATATTGACTGTAGGTGAACATTAGGCAGATGTTCTGCTCTCCAAGCGCCGTTATTACAGAGCTCCTTAATCACCTGTGCAGCTCTGACAACTGGTGTGGCACTGTTTGCAGACGTCACTGAACTGGTAGAAGCTTAGTGCCTTGCAGCTCCAGGAGAGGAGATGGACAGGTCCTCCAGGACTCAGGCCCTGCTCCTGGTCACATTTCTCACAGTAGGGGCCCTCTCTGTAATACCTGAAGAAAGGCATAAAATCATCAATATTAACAAGTCAGACATGTACACAGATTTTTGATTCTTGAAGACATAATTTAACATTAGTCTTTGACTAAATGTCAAGTGGCATCACATATGGAAATGTTTTCAGAGGGAGTTGCTCAACTGCTGATGAAATTACATAGAACCTACTCGCTTCATTTGCAAACTTTGGCTTATTTCCAGACATGCGCTGTCACAATAAGTCAGCTACCATTACAGGAGGTGAAGTTGTAATAGAAAGTAAATAGAGAGCTTGATCAACTCTGTACCCTGTGGTACAATGCATGACACAGAGTTGAAGGAGGTATCCTGGAGAACAAGTGAGGCAATATCTTGGCGATGTTGCGGTACAGGTGGAACAGGCATGGTCACAGGGCGAACAGAATCCCAGCTCTGTTCCGTCAGCCTCCTGCCTTGTGTTGTATGTACCTGCTAGGCACTCAGTCAAACAGGTGCCATCTGGAAAATAGCACACACGCAAAAAACGTTCCACTCCCAATTCATTAGTAGTCATGCACTCATTTTTACTTTTCTTTCTTGTTCATCAGAACAGTTTTTTAGCACCTACCTTGTAAAGGATGTTTAAAAAACATTTCACATGAGATTATTTTCTTCTATGAATTGCCAAAAAGTGATTTTTGTAATAGTGTTAGTTAATAACTTTATGTTGACTCAAGTACTGACTAGTACTAGACAGAGTACTAGACATATTGCACAGCGTGCTCAGCGTGTCACCAATTTGTTGTCCGATCCACTGTGAAATACGATCATCAATTCTTCAGATATGGCTAAAAATGTGTATTTTGTGGTCACGTTTTTAGCAAATTTTGAAAATTTTAAAGACGTTGGCTCAAGACGTTCCTATTTCCTCATGACAATAGAATGGACACACGCCTATTGCCATCATAAATCTATCCAGCTGGTGATCAGTTAACATACGGCCATTTAACCAAGACTGATAAGGTGAAATATTCCCAGAAGAGCCGTCACTATACAACCAGTTTTCAAGGTGTACTGAGGGCACCAAATGCAAAGAATATTTGATAAAATTTATGACTCAGGCTCAAACTCAGTCATCAAGGTTAAAAATAAGACAGTTATCAAGAGTTGATAGTTTGGACATGTATGGCTTTGCAATAAATGCAAATAAAAATCAGCTTTTCTGTGGATTTTTGTTTATTTTACACCCTGAACCACTTCAGTGTAGTGCAGTTGGACATTAGTGGAGAAAAAAAAAAGCTCACTATGAAGGTATTTGGGGACGGCACAGGTCTGGCATTGATCGTTGCCCGGCCCCTCACAAGAGTAACAGTGCCGGTGGCAACCCATGCAGGTGAACTGGTCGTCGTGCAGGTAGGTCCTGTGTGGGCAGTTTCTGTCGCCTGTCACGCCACACAACAATGTATTTGGATCCAGCACAAGTCCCTTCTCGCACTGGGTGCAGCCTGGGTGCACTGGTCATGAAGCGTCTCCAGCTAGTTCTGGAAGAAATCCAGTTCTTTCATCACTTTCATCAATCAAAATTGTAGCCACAATCCCTCATCTTGATGCCGTCTTTTGCATTATTTTCATTGTGTTAGGAGCCATGGAGGCCACTTTCTACGTCTGGTAGAAAGGTGATACATGGACTATTTTAAATAAACTTTCCCTAGGTGAGATACCCCTGTACATAAACAATGGGAACTGATTAACTATTTAAAAAGGACAGTGCCAGAGAGTACATGGTCAGAAAACTGTTACCACGCATATACAACACTGCTTAAAAATCTAACCAAGTCACATCTATGTATTGAGATTCTCACCTTGACATTCCATAGCTTCAGTTTCATAGTAAGTACCAGTGTTGCAGTCTTTGGAGCATGCACCCTTGTAGAGTTTGGGGCTAAACATTGAGCAGGTCTCGCAGTCATCTTCCAGGGGCCCTGAACAGCTGCCACAGGTAGGGTGGCACTGACCACAGCGGCCCTCTTCCATGTCCTCATAATAGCCCATGGGACAACTAGCTTTACACACACCATTCAGCATCAGGTAGAGGAAACTGCATTCTGAAATTATACGGAGGAGGGGTGGTAAAGTTCTAACAAGAGATTTCAAGATGTCTTACAATTCATTATAAAAATGTCACCCACTTGGAATATTTTTCCTCTTAAAGCTTAGCTGCACACACTATTAATAACTTACTGAAACAGGTGCTGTCATCTGAGCAAACGTCACAGTGGGGAGGGCAGCGTCTGCAGGTACCATCATCTGCAGGGTATGTCCGCAGTGAACAGTTGAGTCTACACATACCACTCTCTAGGTAGTGGCCATTAGCACAGGATAGACACTGAGACTTGCCATCACATGTCAGACAGGAGCTATCACAGACTTCACATGACCCCTCTGCTGTCTCAAAGAAACCTCTGGAATCAGTCAGGAGATTTATTAAGGCATAAAACATGAAACACAACACAGTAATTACAGATATTTTTTCGTCAATCTACTGCTTAGTTCGTTCAATCACTTACTCTGGGCAATTCGACCAACACTGCAACACTGTACAGGCCTCTGCTCTGACCTTGCATTGGAGAAAAGCAATTATTTCCATCAGGGAATCAAGTATCATGTTGTTCAGTATGATCTCTGTCTCTATTGTCAGCTGATACTAACTTGCCATTCAGTACTTTACTCACTTTGTTTTACTGTTTTTTTTTTTTTTTGCTGAAATGCAGTAAATCACATAGGCCTCACCACCATATAAAGTTACTTTTCTCTAAAAAGGGAGAAAATTTATTAACAGCTAAAAACATTACACCTCATCATGATTGTTCCTGTTACCATCAAAGTACTGTCCCAGTGGGCAGTTGAGCAGAGGGCACTGGCCATGTAGAGGAGGGTTTCCACCAAGACAAACATCACAGTCTGTTGAATGAGGTCCGTGGCATGTCTGGCATGAGCTGTGGCAGGTCTGACATCGCCACCCACTGGAGTCACTGAAGGTTTGCTGTGGGCACTGTTTAACACAATCACCTCCTGATGGGGCAGAGCAGTACAGAGAGGAAGTTACATTATTTTCCAGTACAAAACTTTATCTGTATTAGCAAACTTGAAAAACCTAGGTGTGACAAGTTAGTAGATAATATTTATTTACAACCTCTATCTTTTTAACCTGTGTACTATTTCACTGAAAGCCTTTGAAATCTTTTGCAGGATTACAATCACAATCACCATCAGTTACTGAAACTATTTTAAGAGAGCAACTCTAAAAAGTCATATTAATTAGTAAAACACGTTTTCATTATCAGTTGTCAGGTTTTTTTTTTAAGTGGCTCTGATGTGGTCTCAAAAAAGATCGGCTCATCTCAACTATTTAAATCCTTCTCCTCTGTCTGCTCTTCCAGCATCTCTCCCTCTCCAAATTCCATCCAACTGCCCAGGCATAAAACAATGACCTAGATCTTTTGATACAGGACCTTGTGGCTGAAGCAGAGAGAATAAGCTGCTGATTGTCCATGATGGATCCTGTCTGACACAATGTACAATCATATGCCCGTGAAATATGTAACAACACGCGTACACGTGTACACAAAAATAAATGACAGCTAATGTTTTTAATATGTTAAAATAATTTTGATGGTCTGTTGTTCTTGCTAAGTTTATTTTAATACCTACAGCCTTTATTAACAAAGCTTTAGCCTCTTTTCATAAAACATACATTTGCATATCTCATGTTACAGGTTTGCTGACAAGGACGCGATTTGCAATCTAAATGAAGAGTCAGAGAAATCAATCATTCTTGGTAAAGAAAAATCTAAGAGTATATTAAAACGCAAACTCTGCTAGTACTGCATGGGACAAAAGGGTCATCTGAATCATTTAGTATGCTAGTAGAAGAGAATAAATATACACAGAAATGATCATTCTTTCCTACTGGTACCATTGAGGAAGTAACCGAGCTGGCAGGCAAGGCAGAGTGTGTTACTCCTGCAATCTGTGCATGGTGCTGGACAGGAGAGACACACACCCCTGCCCAAGTCTTCATAGGTGCTCTGGGGGCAATGCCTGCGACACTGGTGTCTGAAACTGTAAAAGAAATGGTCTATTCAAAACTAAAATCAATTAAGCTTGGTCTGTGTATTTGAAAATCGGTCAATACGTGGTCGATTAACACTGGCTGCTGCAGCTGTTACACAAAAGTAAGCTCTTTTTTTCCAACGCAAACAACTAGAACAAAGCTATTGAAATATGAAAGACCTAATGAAAACGTTTGGGATTTAATAGCACTTTCAAAGCTTTACAGTGAATAACCTTTGCCCACACAGAGGAGTCTGAGGCTAGACGAACTGAAATTAGAGAAATGACAAAACACACCACATGCGAGAGGCAATCCCAACATACACAGCACACCTGCAGCTGTATTGTTAACTCCTCTACAAGCCAAAAGTTAGGACGAGATGAAAACATAATGTAGGCTGCTTCAAGCTTATTGTGGCTCTCTCTTCTTAAGGTAGACAGTTAATTGGTGTTTTATTTGTAGCCTGGAGGCATGGGGCGATTTCTGTCATCAACCTGTCCTATCAGTCCTTCGGGGCTTAACTGTGCTATTAAACATGAGACGGCTGTCCTAAAAAAAATAGCCTAAAAGCAGTTGACATATTGAGTTGCAAAGATGTCACACATACAACATTAAACCAACTACTCTAAATTAAACAAGAAAAAAAGTAGAAATAAGCCACTCCCCTAGACAGTACAACATCCTCTGATGCCTCTTATACCACCTCCATTCATGAGAGAATCTGACCACTGACAGCCCAAGCTGCACTTCTGACTGTGTTGTCATGGATTTGGTGCTAAGATGCAGTGGTTGTTTGAGAAGGAACAGCTGGAGGCGCCACAACGCATCCATCAACTCACTCACAATAGCAGCTAGTGCGGACCAGGTCTCCGTTTCTGGCCTGGAAACAGTGCACTACTTAAGAATCTACGCGATGTTTAAGAATCCCTAGGGCTTAGGGCTTCTGCTCTTTGAATTAGTTAGGAAAAGGTGAAAATATGACTAAATAAATGGTTTAAACCACATCAAGAGTGAATCATAACAATTTTGTGGTTTAGCTGCACTTAGAGAGGAAGGTAAATGTCAATAAATACCAAGCATCCATCATGCTGTGACTCTTTTCAGTAGGCAGCGTTTTATGCAAGAACAACACTGGCCCCACAGACTCACAGCTACGCTAAAGCTGTCTAGGGTTTAACATTTTTTATTACTTCTAGCCAAACCTCAGTAGTGGAATTTTTTGAAGTGCTGGAAACTGTCACACTATATCACAGTGAGACTCTTCCTGCAGGTCATGATTGCCCCGTGCTCTATTGGGTTTCTTTTATTGGTGTTTTCCTCCTATAGTAGATAATAAGGTACTGCGGCCACAGACAGGACTGAAGAGACCTGTCATTCTAAATCTCTAAAGCCATTACTATTAAAGTAAAAGTTACACAAGAAGATTCATGGAAGAAGTATCTCACTGCACCTCTGTAAGAGCAGTAAAAAGGAGGTGAGTGCAGTGAAGCAAGTGCATTTTCCTTCAACCGTCCTGCTGTAACACAGGAGCAGTCAGTGAAGTCAAGATGGTGCACCCTATATAATCCCACCTGCTACTGGCTATGCTTTCCACTTATACTTGCCGTCTTTTTCTCGCTTCTCCTCTCCTACTCACACATTACACACACTCTGTTAAATCTCTGTGAAGCAGACCACTCTTCTATGCTCAAACCAGGGCTCAGGTAACAGTGTAAGACTCTGAATGGAGGGTAACCCGACTCACACAATATTTGGAGGCCTAAACTTGGGGGGGGGGGGCGTTCTCTGAGGCATCTCTGAGTTACAGCATTGTCTCTTCTGCTCAGCGCTAAAAAGAAGATGTGTGAGACAGGGAGAAGAGGGGCCACAAGCTGCTGCTGCTGCCTTTCTAACCCTTCGACTTCCCTGAACCTCAGCATGCACAGAGCAATGTGGCTTCTATGTGATAACAAACCGCAGGGGGGGTGTTCTAGCTTTGAATGTAACCTCCAAGTGATATGCTGGTGTAAACAGAAATACAGGTGAAATGAATTTTCTTGTGGCGTGAAGAATTATTAACCATGTTCTTCAAGCCAATATATGGAAATGCATATTACACTACATTTTGATTGACCAACTTTTTTTATCTAGCAAGGCAATGGCAATGCAAATAAAAACACTTGGGGCTTCGAAAGAAGAAGTACAATTTATTCTCTTTCCAAAACCTAAAATAAATCCAGAAAAATGTTGTTTGTTGTCATACTCTGTCAATTGTTCCTAATGTAATGTTAGCTAACGCTAGCTAACTTCCTTCTAAATGTAATGTAATAAAGCCCTACTGTTCTGTTTTGAATGATTCGTGAATAGAGGCCTACCCAGCTTTACAGGAACAGTGTTGATCCTTGATATCGTTGTATTTTGTTTCAATTGTCAGAGCATGCGGTGGTTCACTTGTACTGTGTAATCGGTAAGCTTTAGCTTCTATCTTTCATTTTTTTAATGTCGGTTTGAATCAGTTTGTGTCAGTCTGACAGCCTGAATCCAACCTTCAAATGTGTCTGCTTCATTCTGAGATCACTTTTTCCAACCAATCTGACAATATTTCTCTGGGGAGTGCAGTAACAGACAGAGGCAGCGCTGACAGTTTGTCGGACTTAGCAACAGTAACTAAGAGGGGCGGGGCTTAGCAAAGGGTCTATTGGGGAAACAAACAAAGTGGCTCGGACCGAGCACATAACACTATTCCAGCCGTTCCAGCCATGATGTGTGTGTCGCGTAATGTTAAATGACTTACCCACAGACACTCAGCCTACTTTCTAGTTTGCCAAGACATGCTGTTGTTGTGAATTTAACTATAGTAGCAGGAGAGTTGTGAGCATAGCTTTTTGGATCTGGGATGCTGGCTCTGGGTCCGCCTTGTCCTCTCTGCATGTTAGCGTCATGTTAGGTTCACAGCAGCAACTGTAGTAACAGTACGCTAACCTGCAACTTGGCTATCGTTAAGTGCTGTACTTGCTGTGTCGCTGTAACGCTCTATATCATGATTTTCGTCACGGTGTTGCTTACTGCAGCTTTAAACGAGAACTGTTATATTGAATCGAAAATAACTGCTAGTTGTATTAAATGTTAGCTCTCTAAAATAACCTCTCAGAACGCATTTGATCCAACAGCAGAGGATATGGGGAGCCAGAAAAGTCCACTTATCACTGGATAATAATAAAACGACAAAAAAAAACTCACAGAAAGTAACCTTCAGCGCAGCTGTTGTAGATATCAGGGTCTTGAGAAATGAGAAACGAGAAAAGGTGATTAATTAGAATTCATGTGGAGGAGCAAACTCATGCAGTAGGCTACTGGCTATCTTTATATTGTGCTGCTCTGTGCACTGTTATCACCAGTGTTTAGATATGTACATCGCAGACCCACCTTACATTGGGGGGGGGGAACAGTATGGTGTTGTCAGCCTAGCCTGGCAAGCCTGTGTAACTTACCCACGGAACATGTTTTGCAGCCCATCTCACAGTCAATGCACTCTCCTGTATCAGGGTCCTGCACCTGGCCTGAAACACAGAGACCCAGCATAACAAGCCTGAATGTCATACTCTTAATCTACAGGAAACTCTGAAGCTCTGATTTACATTTACCTATGTCACAGGATGCCGTTTGGCAGATCCCATTCTGGAGTTTGTAGTGTTCCTGACATTTGGCACATATGTTGCCGTCTGTGCAGAGTTCACAATTGGCTATGCAGGGCAGACAGGCATAATGACCTCTGTCAGGATACAGTCCCCGGGCGCAGTGTGTCCTACAGCGACCTTGGTGGAGGAACCGTTCCTGTCCATCTTCATCTGAGGAGAAGGAGGAGGAAGACACAGAGGACTTGTTAACATAAAGCCTAATCTATTTTTCTCCTCTACCAGGAAACGCCTTTTCCCAAAATCTGGACTCTTCTGAAAGTGAAAATCAATGAGCTTCTCATAATAAACATAGAGGCAGAGCCAAATGGGCCCCAACAATTACATGGAATGAAGGAAAGATGAAAGGACGGGCTGCCAACTGTGTGGGTGGTAGCAGGAATGACCCCTGCCATCGCTCCGCCACCAGGAAATGTACTGGGGTTAAAGGAGCGAAACATCCATGACTGGTGGTCTCCAGCTGATGACCCATTTTATGCCCAAAGAGGAGGAGCACACCTGCACAAAAGGCACCGGTGGAGGTGCGTCAGGCAGCAATGCCCAGCAGGTCGACCATCAGCTTGTATTTCTATAAATAAGTGTGAAAGTTGCCTTCAGCAAATGACAGCATTAACACATATAGCGAAATCAAGATTGTTTGACTGAAAGGAGAGAGATGTCATCTGGCTTAACGAGTGAATCACTGGCAATTATTAGGAAACCGAAGAACTAATGGCTCCAGCCCAGCATTTTGTCTGTTGTCTGACTGTAGGCCTGCAAATAACAGATCACAGTGTGAGATCACTTCCTGATGATGCGCCAATATAATGTAAACAATGGCAATCTGAGGCAGATGAGAGATCAAAGCTGTGGGCAGAGACGGAGTCTTCTGTTGGCCCTAATGATTAATACTCTGCCACCTGCCACTAGCCTAGCTGTGGCACCTGAGGCATCTCTGAGTTACAGCATTGTCTCTTCTGCTCAGCGCTAAAAAGAAGATGTGTGAGACAGGGAGAAGAGGGGCCACAAGCTGCTGCTGCTGCCTTTCTAACCCTTCGACTTCCCTGAACCTCAGCATGCACAGAGCAATGTGGCTTCTATGTGATAACAAACCGCAGTGTTTGAGGAATGGGGTACAGACTTTTGGCTTTTGATGTTCTTCCACAAAGGAATACACAGATGCCACACAGATATACACACCAGGATCAAATGCTAACTACTGTATACTACTAAAGTCTGCACAACAAAACATATCTGCAGCATTGAATATTAAAATACAGTCAGTAAAAAGCAAATGCATAATTGTAGAAATGTCAAAATGAATATATTCATTGAGTAAAAGAGAGAAAGACTTGTAGGTTTAGCCAATGAACTGAAACAGTAATACTTCTTGCCCAAGGGGGTACTTTTTACTTTTTTCCTTTGCCTCGGATTAACAAAGGTCCCATTCTGACATGATCAGATTACAGTGAAAACTCGTGATCACACCTTCATTTCTTACCTATTTCAAAAGGCGCCCCTGTGACAGAGAATGCAAGTTCAACAGCCACTTTGTGATAGTTTAACAAGAGTAAATGGTAAACCAGAGCTGCATGCTCCTCCTCTAATTCAAAGGCCTTTAAACAGCTTTGCTTTAGTAACCATTAAACAGTGCTGCCTTGAAAAGAAAACTGGATTAATGAGTCTGTGACATGGCTTTGTTTTAATCAGGTATCTGTGGAGCTGGGGAAAAAATCAGAAAAGAGGAATTATATTGGCCAATGGAAGATGTTCATATTTGCACATCTCATACAGAATTTATGAAAAATGTAGGTAAAATTTGTCATATGAAGGCAAGGACATTGTTTAACTTCGATGAAGTCATTGTTTGATGATTTATTTGTTAAAACTACAGCCTACAAAACATGACTTTTTAAACCCCCATAATACATATTTTCGCCGTTTTACTTTCAGAAAGCCCTCAGTGATTTTATGCTGTTAAAAGTAAGTGTATAGGGAAATATACTCACCAACTCCACAGGTAGTGCATTCAAACAGCTCATGCCCGTCGCACTCAGAGCAGGTGGGATGACAGAGGACACACTGATTCTTCAGCAGAAACTGTCCACTCGGACAGGGCAACGAAGGTTTACATCCAGTAAATCCGACACAGCAGAGAAAGGTCAGAAACGCGGCGAAGGACCTCATGGCCGCGTCCGAGTACTTTCACTGGAAGTGACAAAAAAAAAGCCAACACCTCGGACTGCTTCCTAAGACGCAGTGTCCGTGCAGCAGGTACGCTGGCAGATCGATGGGGCTCTGTGACACCAGCCCAGAAATAACTTGCTGGACCAGTTCGTTCAAATGAAGCGCTGGACAATGAGCGTGGACTGTGGTGCGCATTTAGTAGCCTAAATGTTCCCGAGAGAAGAGCCCAGTCTTTGTGACGATAGATAGTGTGTGAAGATAGATAGATAGATAGATAATTTTCATTGGATAAGCTAAATAAACCATCACACCATGCACCCACCACAAAAACATGTTAATGGAAATGAGTGTTACGCTTTGTAAATTACTTTTGGTGCAACTTCTTTTGGATTGGATTGTATGGTTGAAATGCACTTTGGATAAAAGACCCAGCTATAAATGTAATGTAGGTAAACCAAAATACCTGATAAAGACACACCCAATTAGCTATTGTTACTTAAAAATCTATATGGCTTTAATGTTGCATATTAAACTTTGTTTGTTGAATATTTAGGAGGTGAGGAAAATGAGTGTCCACTGTCTGGCCAATGATTTGTACTTTAAATCCACAGGTTCCAGGATTCATTCAACAGTAACATTGGAGATTTAGCTAATGCTAGGTTAGTTAAAGTTACAGCTAGTTCAGCTAAAAGGCATATAAAATAAATTAGTGGTTTACAGATAAATTTAGGTTTTTTTATGGCTTGGGAAAGCACAAATTAAAAGCTAATTTTGCTTGTTTTATAGGCTCCTTTTTGAGGATTAATTGCTTGTTGCACAATGTTCAATTGCTAACTAGCTATGGCTAAGGTCAACAATGTGGGAGAAACTCAAGAAGACACAGCTAAAGCATGCAAAGCATGCAAAGCATGCAACCCAAAAAAAACAAACAGTCCCACTCCTTCCCTGCAGCTCTCCTTGCAAAGCCTCCTCCAAAACACAGTTTCAGTTGCAATGAGTGCAGGAAGGTAGGCCTGATTGACAGACACAGACACCAGACTTTTTTTTCATTGTTGTGTGGAAGCATTTCATTTATTGATTGTTGACAGGATGTAAACAGAATATAAACAAATATAACGTATTTAAATAATAAAATAATAACATATTTTTAATTTAAAAAATTGCCTACCCTAGCTTTAAATGTGACAGTCTTACCATTCATTGTGGTTTATAAACTCCGTGATACACTAAACGCGAGCATTTACTTTCTTTACAGTTTATTAATAGTGTCATTTATATTATCATGTCCTAAGACACCGGACGCCATTTGTGCCTCAGACGTTTTGTTTTTGTGAAGGAATAGCGGCCTCTCGCGGCTGCTTCCTGGATGTGCATGCGAGGGCGTGAGGAGCACAACCCTCCTCAGCGGCTGACGTCACGCGGCAGCGGCTGTCAGAGGGGGCGTGGCCTTGTTCTGCTGCAGCAGAGAAATATGACATGGGGATGAGCGAAAGAGAGAGGGAGAGAGTGAGACAGCCTGATAGGAATTAACGGTTCGTCAGAGGTCTGGACTGGAAACCTTAGGATGGGGAGTAATGACTGAAAACAGAACGGTAAGAGACAGACATGTTTTCATTTTTCACACACACATCGCGACAGGCCGATTCATGGCTCATTAGATAGAGGAAACAATAGGCTACCGCTGCAGACAGGTGCACCTGCCTTTATGCGAGTACGTGCCTCGATGCATTCAACTTCAGGTTCCGTGTGAATACCTTTTTTAAAAAATTATTTTAGGTCGAAGGCAAATGCATCGAGGCCACAAATCTCCTCAACGGTTTGGGATGAGACGTTAGCCGTTAGTCTCAAGAGTTACATGCTGTAAACATGGATGTGGTCTTGAATCTGTATGCATAGTCACAGACCTTTGTGATGTAGGATCATACAGTAGTAGCAATGTTAACGTTATATAGGCTATCTGAGACAGCTGAGTATATTTTGTGATAGCACAAATAAACAGCTTATTAGCTTATTGAGGCTATAAAGCCTTGAAGGCTATGGTTCCTTTTCCAGACATGGAATATTAATCATCACAATGTATTTTGGGACAGATGGCTTAACATGTAGATAGTGATGAAATACATAACAGCTATATGTTTAGTGAATCACAGCAGTCTGTTCATCCTAAAATATAGGAAGCCATACAATTACTGCAAATGCCACAACCTGGTTTAATTCTGTAACCCATATAGTTTATTTTATTGTTGGCCTGGTTCACAATATCTACCAACTATGCCTGCCTGTATCGTGACGCCACTAATTCATTGCTGTGGTATTTTTAAAACCATATTCATGTCCCCATAATAAAACCTTTAATCTATCATTAATGTCAGATTCTTTTTGAGCTTGTTACAACACTGTTTAAATTACTCTGCCACTGTTTCCTTCTGATCATTTGGAAGATGATGATTTACATCAAATCAACTTGTTTGCTTTCTTCTCTTTACAACTCATTCAGCCACCTATTACCCCTGTCTTAATGCGTTACTTGGGCTTGCGAAGACGGGCAGCTGACAGTAGTCGAGTCTGATTTGGAGACAGCTTGAGTAGACGGGGCAGAGATACAAAGCAGGGCCGTGGCTGCCAGGCCAAGCCAGGCCATGCCAGCTCCACAGAGGGCTTCAGTGCAGCAGGGCACTGGGGAGAGGGCGCTTGGCACCTGATCAGTTACCTCAGTGAATTCTGTTCCTGTCACTGGCATTTAGCTACAGAAAAGCAGAGCAGACATGACTGACAAACTTGCAAGACAAATGCACTCAAACCCTCACACATCGCCATCTTTCTGACAGTATCAACAAAAATTGCACATTTATGCACTGGTAACATGGCTACGGATTGTAATAGATTACTCAAGGCTTGGATAAAATTCAAAGATTGCACATACTGTATATGAGTATTTATTGTATACGTCTATACCTTTATGCAGGGTGTGCTGCATATAGAAGAACACATTAGTGCATTTGTCTTATAAGTAAGTAAGAACCTCCATTATACAGCAGATACTGATGGTTTGTGTCACACAAATATTTTAAGTACTTAATATTTTAGTGTGAATTATAACAGACCAAATTAGGTATTAATTTGTATGGTGGAGATTGGTTTGGTAAGTAAAAATGATTTTCTTCTGGCAAAGAATTTACTTTGCAGTGGTGTGATGGTACTTTCACATTTCAGGATGTGATCAAATGAAAAGCGTGTTTATGGACAGTGTGTTGGCCCTTTTAGATGACACACCATCCCAGTCACATGGATGTCTGATGACTATTGAATCTGTCTGCAGAATCGACAAGGACATGCACGGTAAAGTGGAGATCGCAACTGCTGCCATACCGGAGTGACCCTGCTCGCACTGCAAGATGTGGAGGAGGAGCACAACAATCTAATGTATATGCTCTGGGCAACGTGACTGGAGACTTGGCTCTTTGCATCAGGAGAGTGCCTTTTTTGAAACTATGCTGCCTGTTACATTGTGGAACTTTTTACAGCTCAATCCTCTGCATTTTTCCACATTCTGTCTGAAACTTTTTAATCTTTTTTAGTTATTTACTACCGGTATATCATGTCACACTTAGCTTATTGGTGTTCCTAGTTACTGTTGTATCTACACGTTATTTAAGGCACTCTGTTACAAATGGTTGATGCATGTTCTGCTTTATTACATTTAAATATATATATTTATATTCAAAAGGTGACAATGGAGAGAAATTAAATATTTTTATGGTTGCTCTGATTTTAGACTGCATTTTAGGTGTCTGAGTGGCATTTCGTAGAACAAGTTCTGACAGCACCTTTTTCACTGTTCACTGCTGGCGTTCTCTGTTAAAATCCTGCCTGGGGAAAATAAAGTTTTATTTTTGCCCCTCACCTGAATGTGCCCTCTGACTTGAGGAGGGAGAACATGGTGACAGCAACAATTTTTTTATATTTTTTTTATTCCATCCGGTCCTGTTTTGCAGTTGTTACAAGACAGAGGTTTATGTTAGCACTGAAACTGTACAGTGACCAAATGAAGAGTATGTTAAGATTCAAATAACCAACATTTTTTTTCCTCAGCTTTGCAGATCTCTTCCACTTAGAATCCACTAGATGGCACCACAAACACATGTCATTGAAATCATAAAAAATAAAAATAAAAAAGACATGGCATAAGTTCCCCATCAATACCTTCGCAATAATATTAAAACGAGGGATTATTAGCAGCAGATATTAATTAAGTCATGACAAGATCTATAACAATATCTTGACATAAGATTAACAGCCACATAATAAAAAAAAAAATACAATATGGATCATATTTCAGAAATGACTTAATAGCAATAGAATATTTCAATACATTTCATCAGAAGATCCCTAATTTTTGATAATAAATTAATATGGTTTCTATAATATTATTTTACATTTCAAATGATTAGAAGCTTTACAAAATGGTGGCATATTAATCTGTTAATAACTGGCGTTACCTAAAGCCTTGAAATGCAGAACTGACTCCAAACATCTAATAGCAGTGTCATCAACCTCGGGATCAAACTTATTTGCAAAGAGGTGGTGTTGTGTGAGGAGCCACTGGAGGTCGCCAGCACCGTACACGCAAACAGCTCTTCTGTAAGCCCCAGTGCAAGGATAGTACGGGGCTCCATTTTTCATTTCTCCTGCTAAATAGCTCCACTTTACCAAACGAGCAATGGCATTCATGTCTGACATGTCATACTTAATGTTGGCAGGCACTGATCCGGGAACAGAAGGCATCCTTGTTAGTGTGGCCCACAAGTGCTCATCTGGGCTGTATGTGTCCTTCTCCCACTCCAGAAATGTCTGAATCTCTGTCCTGCATGACATGTTTTACAAAGGCTCTTGTGACCACAAAGTAAGCATTTCCTTGGAACATGGGGCTGCTAATGGGTGGAGGACTTTTCCTCTCACTTGTCCTGATGACTGTGTTAGAGACATTGTGATGATACTGCCAGCGGCCTTTCTTGTAGTCATTGGTGACCTCAGACTCCATGCTGTTTCTCCCATTGAGGGCCTTCAGAGCCTGAACCATCTCTCCATTGGTTTTGATGGGAAAGTCTGTCCCGCAGGTGTTGAGCAGGTACCTCCACTGGACATGTGAGCTCAGCAGATCTTTCATGCAGTTCAAATCTGCCTGCACTCTGGACCATGAGGCATATACCACATTTTCTAATTTACTGGCTACAAACACATTAGGAAAGCAGGAGATAATTGCCTCCACAGCCTTCTGAAATTCTTTGGAGGATTTCTGGTCCACATGCACACAGTAGATGTTCTGAGGAGTGTAAATAGCTCGTAGAAGTCGCTCAAACATCTCAATCTTCTCATGAATCACCATGGAGTAGGCAATGGGAAAATCCCTCCTCTTCACTGAGCGGCACTGTCATGAAACCTCTCTTTTCAATGTAAGCTGGGCAGTCTTTTGTCACATGAGGTAGAAGTCCTCAGATAGAAAATTGTGTCTTTTCCTGGATGCCAGAAGCACTTCCAATTCGTTCTCCTTGCTCTCTACATCCCCACTGATGATAGCCGAGCAGCCAGGCAGGTCAATAGAGAACTGCAGTGGTATTGTGTGATCAGATGATGACTGCCTGTCAAAAGGAGAGAGAGTTGCTGAAGGATAAAATAAAGGAGCATACCCGTGAGGATGAGAGAGAGGGTCCTCACCAACATCTGACCCTTCAACAACCATCCGAAAGCCATTTCCTTGCTCGAAGTCTGCTTGATGTGACTTTGGTGACCTTATGACGAGAGGCTGTAGTTCTTCATTTAATAAAGGAGCACAAGCTGAATCAGCCCCCTAAGTAGGTGTGTCAAACTAAGGCGTGGAAGGAATTTCATTTAAACACCTTCCTGGTTGATCCTAAAATAGGATCTGACTTATTGCACAAGTCCTGGTGGATGTTTCACATTATGCTATGTATACACTCAGGGCTTGACATTTATTTATTTATTTATTTCAAGCAAAATAGTGTGACAACAGAAAAGATACACAATAATAATAACTTATACACTTATGCTTGAAATGGAGTGGGAAGAAGTAAAACTTATTAAACCCCACCCCAGTCTATCAAAGAATTTATACATACAAAAAATAGCTGCTTCCTTCATCAATAATCTCAAAGAAAAAATATTAATAATTAAAATAAATAATTAATAATATAATAATAATAATAATAATACCTCATTTAGAAACAGTGGATGCACAAGTCAAAACCACACATTCATACCATACATACTAATAATATACAAATATTTCCACAGGTAACAATGCTTATCAAATACCAACAATGGTAGACGAAATACCACAAGGGTACATAATGATTATCAAATACCAACAATGGTAGATGGACTACCACAAGGGTAAATAAATGACAACTAATCCAACAATCTACACAACATGAATACAATCAAACCTCATTGTCATTGTAATGACATTAACTTTTTTACTCACTAGCCAGAGTGGCTAGTGCTTCATCATAGTCACTAGCCACGCAGCATTGTTGTTGGGAAATTACGCTTTATACAATTAAAGTTGACAATAGCATGCTTAAATTGGCGTGCTAAAATGTACTAAATTATCATTAGCTCCGATAAGGTTGTGTGTAAAACTCCCTTTTGTTGAAAAAATAGTCTATTAAGATAAACACATTAAAATAGCAGCTTCTTATTGTATATAATAAAAGTGCTGCATGGGTGTAAAAGATTAACTGAAAAGGTAAAAACTAAACTAAAAACAAAATTCACCAGAAACATTGTTTAAATGCTATTTATTTAAAAGCAGCAGGTTAAATACTGTAAAACAGAGTAGAAAAATTATCTGCATTAGAAACAAAGAGCAAAGGTGAAAAAATCACACACAATTAAGGCAATAGGAGGAAAATGTTATGTATAGGCCTATATCATTTTTGTGCACTTTTGGAGTGTTTGTTTGCATCTGCATTTCCTCAGAGCTCTGACTGGATTTATGTTTATCATCATGAAGCTCTGAGTAACTGGAGATATGAATTGAGTATACAGGTCTTTATTTCCAGATTATTCCCTACAACGCATCTTCTGCTTTCATTCATGGCATGAAAACTTTTTATTAAACCATTAGAATCAACTCTGGAAAGGTAGTGTGATATGACGATTTGAAGGGCAGCCCTGCTAGTAGTCTGTTTTTTTTTATAAACACAGCATGTCCCTTAATCATGAAGATATCGATATTTTACAG